GTGTAATAATTATTTCTCTTTTAAATAAATAAGTCGAATGTTAGGTAGGTAGGTAGGTAGAGTGGCTGTCTAACGACACACCTAGGCCTATAGGAGGCCCATTGTGATACCACCGGGACTAATGTTCCCTCACTCTATCGTCTCCTCTCTGAACCAACCTGTGCTCCTGATGAAGTTCATCAGTACAAATAATTTTATACTAGCATCTTCTGATACGTAGTCAAGGAATCCACGAATATAGAGCTTTACATTCGCATAAAAGATGCTTTACAGTCTCCTCTTCTCCTACTTCTTGACAGCTTCTACAATAGTCGTTGTATGATACACCTAGCCTACTGGCATGTCTACCAATTAGACAGTGACCTGTTAGTACTCCTATCAGAGTTCTTATATCATTACTTTTAAATTAAGGTAGTCGGTTTGTGCTACTCACGCTCCATTCCTGCCACTAGTCTGCTGGTTGAGCAGGCTATTGATATTCTCCATCGAGACTCTGCCGTATTTATAGCATGTTCGCCGATTAAGTGTTTGCAAGTTGCCATAAGCAAAAACATACCCTCTTTTACAGGGGTTAGTTCCAAAGTAGTGCCTGTTCTAGCTAGTTCATCTGCGTCGCAGTTACCAGGGATATCACTATGTCCTGGAACCCATTGCAGGTTTATTGTGAAGTAGGATGTCAGATCCTCTAATAGGTCAAGACATTCTTTCACTAGCTTGGATGAGACCATTGGAGACTTGAGTGATTTCAAGGCCGCTTGGCTATCCGTATATATATATGTGCTCCTTGTTGTGAGCACACTTTTTGTCAATACCACAAGGCTTTCTTTAATTGCTGTGATCTCCGCCTGGAAGACACTGCAGTGGTTTGGTAAACGGAAGGCGATGTTGGTGTCTAATGTTGCGCAAAAGACACCACTTCCCACTCGATTATATAGTTTGAATCCATCCGTGTAGATGCTAATTCCTTCATTCCTGTCTACTTCGTCCCTTTTTCACTCCTCTCTTGTGGGGAAGGCAATATTGTGGACCAAATTTAGTTTCAGTTCTATTGGATTGCGGAAATCCGTGGTTTCGGGTAGAAACGGGAATATACTGAGTATCCTAGAATCCCCCTTGTTGCATGCGACTAGTTGGGAGGATTCCCTCAGTCTAAGAGCTGACTTTGCTGCCACTTGCTTGCAGAACAGGTCTGTTGGCAGTTAATGTAGAATGACGTTTAGAGCCTGGCTTGGCGTTGTTCTAAGAGCTCCACTAAAGCATATACTGGCTGCTCTTTGTATACTTTCCATACGCTTTACCGCGTATTTCTTTTCCATTATTAGCCACCATACCAATATACCGTATGTCATAATTGGTCTGACAACTGCTGTATAGAGCCAATAAGTTACCCGAGGCGTTAGCCCCCATTTGGGGCCCACCATCCTTTTACAGGTGTAGAGTGCTGTGGCTGCCTTCTTCGCCCTAACATCCAAGTTTTGTTTCCATGAAAACTTCCTGTCTAAGATTAGTCCCAGGTAGCTTGCCTTATCTCCAATTGTTAGTCTGCAACCATTTATTAATGGCGCCGTAACTTCTGGAGCATTATGTTTTCTGGTGAACAATACTAGATCTGTCTTACCAGCATTTAAGTTTAATCCGCACGATAGTGCCCAACGATTTATATCTTCCAAGATCGTTTGCATAAGGTTTGCGAGAGTATTTGGGAATTTGCCTCTGACCGATACTGCCACATCATCAGCGTAGGCCACAACATGTACCCCTTCTTTTCTTGATCCAACAGCAACTTATTCATTGTCAGGACCCAGAGAAGTGGGGATAACACGCTTCCTTGAAGTGTACCTCTTTGGACAGATCTGCACATCGTTGACGGTCCCAACGTTGAAATTATTGACCTGTCCGTGAGCATCTGTTAAATTACTTTTCTAAGAGGGTCAGAGATGTCCAGATCCTTAAGCGCACTCAGTATGGCCCTAGGCTGCATATTATTGAAAGATCCTTCTATATCTAAGAAGGCAAATAGAGTGTATTCTTTAAATTCCAGAGATTTTTTCAATCTCCGCCACCACAGAGCTTAGCGCCGTTTCTGTGGATTTTCCTTTAGAATACGCATGCTGCGAACCAGCCAACTTTTCTGGTTTCAGTTGGTTTCTTATATGTAATTCTATTAGTCTTTCCAGCGTTTTTAGAAGGAATGAGGAGAGGCTAATTGGCCTGAAGTCCTTTGGACTTGTATGCGAGCTTTTGCCTGCCTTTGGTATGTATATTACCTTGACTTCCCTCCAAAGCGAAGGGATATAGTTTAATTGCAGCGCCCCCTTAAGAATGGCAATTAGCTAATTCATTATGTAATTCTGCGACTGCTGATATTGAGCAGGGAATAGACCGTCTGATACCGGCGACTTGAAGGGCTTAAAGGTATTTATTGCTTAGCGTACGTTGCTTTCTGACACTATGTTTATAAGAGTGGAGTCCATTTCTGTCCCACTGTCTTGAGTATATTCAGCAGTATGGCTTTTCACAGCTGCCTGGGAAGTGGGTATCCATTAGTAGCCCCAGGGACTCTTCACTGGATACCGTCCAACTTCTGTCTGGCTTCTGCAGATAACCGATACTACGCACCGATTGTGCCATTATTTTCCTCGATATCATTACAAAAAGATTTCCATGAATTTCTTTTTGCTCTCCTAACTTCCTTTTTGTATGACCTAAGGAGGTTGTAATAATAATCCCAGTCTGCCTCGCCTTGGGATTGCTTAGCTAAATTGAACTGCTTTCTGCATTTATTCTGTAGTTTTATAAGTTCTAGAGACCACCAGGGGGGCCTTATTCTACCACTACTTCGTGTTACACTGGTCTGCAAAAAAAAAAATTTTTTTTCTCCTTCTGGTTTTCATGCATGAATTCTTTATATTTTGTGCTCTAGACACGGAATTTGACATACAAATAAGTACCACACGTAGATTTTCCATAAATTATTTATTTAATTAAAAAACAGAATTATTAAGGTATCAATTATTATTATAAGAAAATGAAAAAATATTACGGTCCAAGTTTTACAGTGAAAAATCTTAAAGTATGATTTTATGATGATAAGATGATGTTATTTTGTAGTTTTTTTCCTTTTCATTGTTTCCATTGGAGTTTCTCGGCGAAGTGACCAACAGAAATCAGCAAGCATTGCTGCTGACCATTTCCCATTGTAGCGTTTTTCAATCTGCATTATATCTTGATGAAACCTTTCACCATGCTCATCTGATACGGCTCCAAGATTTTCAGGAAAGAAATATAAATGTGAGTCCAAAAAATGAATCTTGAGTGACATATTGCATCCTAAAGATTTATAAGCAGAAAGAAGCTCCCGAATGATTTGTCGGTAGTTGTCAACTTTGGTATTCCCAAGAAAATTATGACACACTTTCACAAACGCCACCCAAGCTCTTTTTTCTGTTTTGCTCAACTTCGATTCAAAAGCTTCATCTTTCATTAGCTCACGTATCTGCGGACCTACAAAAATCCCTTCCTTCAATTTTGCGTCACTGATTCGAGGAAATTTTGTTTTTAAATATTGAAAACCTGCACCATCTTTATTGATCGCTTTCACAAAGTTTTTCATAAGTCCCAACTTTATGTGAAGTGGTGGCAGAAAAATTTTCTCACTTGGGACTAAAGGTTTCTGAGATACATTTTTAAGCCCAGGAGTTAAACTTTTTCTCAGAGGCCAAGATTTTTGTTTGTAATGTTTTTCTCTTGCGCGACTGTCCCATTCACAAAGAAAACAGCAAAACTTTGTGTATCCTCCTTGTAATCCAGTAAGTATGGCGACGACTTTTAAATCAGCACAAATATTCCATAGGTATTGAGAATATTGAATTTTTTCAAGTAATACCTCTAGGTTTGCATAATTTTCCTTCATGTTTGTAGCATGTGCAACGGGTACAGATGGGTATTTGTTACCATTATGGTGTAGAACGGCTTTTAAGCTTATTTTCGAAGCATCAATAAAAAGTCTCGCGAGGAATTGGTCGCGAGGAATTGGTCTCTTTGCAGATGGGATGTTTGGGTATACAATCTTATTTTTATTTTTTTTCGAGAACCCTCGTGTTGATGTCATGCAGAAATAACAATCATTTTCATGATTCTGAGGTTCACTCCAAATCATTGGCATTGTAAACGGCATGGATTTGTGACTTCCTTCAAGCCAACCTCTCAACGTTCTTGAGCAGCTATTGCAGCATACTTTTGGTAGCCAACTTTTATCTCGCTCATCGATAGAAAATCCAAAATATAGGTTATATGCTGTTTTAACAAGATCTGTCATGACATTTCGATGTGTTTTTAATACAAATTCCCCACAAACGTAGCAAAAACAGTCTGTTGAATTCTTACAACTTCGTGGCATTTTATAACCTAAAATTACATAAAATTTATTTTAAAACAATTTTCAAAGGATTATTTTATATTTATTTACTCTGCTTATGCAACATACACTAACTACACATAAAATACTTAAAACCAATATAGGGAACATAAACTTCATGCAAAACTTACCAAAATAATTGATATAGAGGTATAGGTAACGGTGATCAGCATCAGGTGATGATGCTCTCAATATGTAATACATTATTATGATAGCTTAATTATTGTATGTAAGAGAGATAGCAGTAGTGTAACTCTTAGGATAACAATGTAGAATAGAATGTAGGATAACTTAACCCTTAGTTGTACTAATATAAATGAACTTAATATTAGCCTGTGAATGCATGAATTAAATAAATTTAAAGATATGTTTAATGTGGGTGTCGCCACATATACACGGCTTGTAACGTAGACACACAGAAAAGTGGAAAAAAACCCAAATTTTTGAAATATAAAAAAAAAATCATATAAAAAAATCTAGACGTGATGGAGAAAATCGGCTAACGGGGATCGATTCAGGACATTTGAATCGTCATATTTATGACCAAATTTTTTAAAGGAGGACTTCATTGCAGACCAGTGTTATTGGACAAGCCACTTCTAATGCTTGCCGGCACGATTCCGTGAGTCGATTAACGAGGATATCTAAATCCTCCTTGCTATTGGGCTGAAACGGTAGAATCATAGGGATACGTTTTTCCAGCTCTTGCTTGTCCACCTGCCAGTCCGTTTTCCTATGATTCCTAAGGTTAATGCCTCTATCGGTCCTTTCCCCTATTGTACATTCAATATATCGGTGATCCGAAAAGGAATGTTCTTCGAGACCCCTCCATTGGGTTACCCTGTCAATTAGTTCTTCCGACACAAGTTTGATATCCAGCACTTCTTGTAGGTTTCTTGTAATAAATGTTGGCGTGCTTCCCTTATTATACATCAGTAACTTAATGCCTAGTAGGTAATTTAAGAGACACTTACCTCTGTCATTGACATCTGTTCTGCCCCAGATTGTGTGATGCGCGTTTGAGTCGCATCCAAGTAGTGTCATGCACTTGGATGCCTCGTACCGTACCACCTCTTTTACCATCAGAGGTGGCACCAGCTCTTGCTCGTGTGACATATAGCACGACACCAGCCGGTAACTGCTTGTGCCCGTTTCCCAGCTTACTGCTGCTGTGTCGTTGTTGCTGTAATTATGTAATATAAAAACATTAAGGTTTTTCTTTGCCATTATTCAGGCTCTGATTTTACCTTCACAATTAGCCATCAGTAACTTATAGTTTGGCGTCCTCAGTCCGCAAATACGCCCTATATTAACCCATGGCTCCTGAATGAGGACAAATTCAGGCTGTTCCATTGCCACGCGGTTAATTAGGGCTGCTGAAGCTAGTTTGCTTTGATGCAGATTAATTTGTAGAAGACGCATTAACTATTGTTATATCTGCGTCTTCCTGAGAGTCGCTTAAAAGCTCTTTCTCAGTATAAAAGCTTGAGAGTCTGGCAGCAAGCTTAGACCCAGAAGAAGAACACTCACCTTGCTCCATACTTTCCGCGTCGCTCGAGGACTCCATAGGATCTTCCTCTACTTCGCATATCTCTTTCTCCGATGCCAGATGGTCTGCAGCATCGTCGTCCGAATTGTAAGGCGTTATCCGCACTTTCGTGAACACTTAATTTATCTCCCCGCCACTTTTCACCAGCGGTTCGATAGATTCTTTCGTTAATAACAGTAGAATCTGCATCGTGGCCCTTTTGGTCTCCACGCCAGATTCTGCTACGCTGTCCTCAAATGTCTTGACATACTTCCACCCTTCCGTGGGTACACTCGGGTTGCAGGCTCTTATGAGCTGTATAATCTGGTCCGGCTGTGATGGTGTAGCCGGGATCCATACGCTTGCCCTTGGTCTGGATCGTATGTCCTTTTTGTCCGCTGCTACCAATTTTGCCTCGGGGTATACCTCTCCCACCTTGGCTATAGCAGCTTTGTATAGAGCGACCGATCTCTCGTCGTCGCAAGCAATTATTTTGATCTGGCCCTGGTACCAGCCGGCATCTGTGCATGACGGTGACGGACCCGGGTTGCTAAATACCACTTCCTGCGCCACATTTGTCAGCGCAGAATGCACCCATTTCCATTGGGCTCTGGGGATTCTTCCATCGGGATCTCCCTCATCCAGCACGCCAATGACAATTCGGTTCCGGGCCACTTCTGCAAATGATTTTGCGGTCGTTACGCCCTTGGTCTTCGGCCTCTTGGCTGACGGCTTTGCCTCTTCAGATGACCTCTGTCGCTTGGCTGCCATTACCGGCGGCTCCAGCTTGAAATTGGGTATGACTGCTCTCGCGCAGTCAATCGATGCTTGGAGCTCCTTCGTTAGCTCCTCTTTCGTTGGCGGCTTTAACTCTACCAACCTTAGTAGGTATGCGGCGCGTCGTCTCTCCGCATACTTTGCCTTTGAATGCTAAATGCAGGCCACTCCGTGGCAGGGTTTGGGTCTGGCTGCCTCCGGCGGTACCACTTTCTGTGGGCCAGCTTTAGCCCAACTTCCATCTTCGCGATATTCGGGTCGAACACGTCGAATACGGCGCACCCAACGCTTCAACACTGCAAGGTAGAATACTACATTAACGTTTTGGCCGGGTGGAACAAATTCTGTGGACAATACCCTTGGAATCATAAAAATAAATCAGCATTGTCTTCACTTTTGACTTCTCCAGGCGCGATTTTTTGATTTCGGCTTGTCCGGCGCCTTCCATTCAGCTTCTGGCGTTTCGTTTCGAGGTTATATTGAAAACACCACGTTTTGTCACCAGTCACAATCTTGTAAAGGAAGTTATTTTTTTTTTTTTGCCTTTTTAATAATGTCCTTCGAATGTTGAATTCTGAGCAATTTTTGGTCGTCAGTCAATTTGTGCGGAACAAACCGTGCACACATCTCTTGTAAGCCAAAATGTTCGGCCAAAATGCGATAAATCGATGTTTTGGAGATGTTCAACTCTATTTCCATGAATTTCAATGATGATTTCGGCTGATTTTTTATGAATTCACTCATAGTTTCGATGGAATTTTCGGTCATCACGGATTTTGGTTGGCCGACATGTTCATCGTCATTTATGTCCTCACGACCACTTTGAAAACGTTGAAATCAGTCATGCACTCTGCTACGGGATAGGCTATCATCGCCATAAACTTGTTTCATCAACGTTTCGGTAAAAGTTTTACCAATTTTAAAACCAAATTTAGTGTTCGCTCTTTGTTCGAAGCTCAGTTTCGCACCGATGACAAAAACATACTGACACTTAAAACGAAATAACTTCAATTCCAATAGATGTCATGTCATGAAATTTTTACTGGAAGTCGATAAAGGATAGATTCTAACGCACTAGCCGGCATATAGATGGCGCTACTAGAGTTTACTTTGTTACTTTTTTACTGTTTACTTTGGAACGCACCTTGTAGGGTATATATTTTGCCGATGCTATTCCGCTTGTTTGTTTACGCGTGTATAATGTACGTTATATAGTTGTGCGACACATATGTATATACAATATATCGATATGTATGTTTAGTATGTTTTTATACATATCTACTGTAATGTTGTAAACAACATAATATAATAGTATACTTGTACATATATAGGCTAAATATATGTATTTGTATGTATATAATAGATTGGATTTGCCTTTATGTATGTATGTTTAAATATCTTATGAGTTCTCCCCATTTTCTTTAATGCTTTAGCTTATGTGACGCAATCTTGCATATACTTAATGCCGGAAGTTGGTGCAAGTAAATACTTGAATTCGTTTGTTGTTGAGATAGTTTGTGTGTTTAAACACAGCGGTAAACAGTTAGAGGTAAAGAAGAGCTCGTTATATACTTGGATATATATTTTTTACCAATTTGTTTTATCTGTTAGCGGTATTTCTGTTTTTTATATTAGAAAATAATAATGTTTATATTAGAAAATATACAAAATACTAAAAGGAATCGATACGAGTCCCTTTAATTTCCTTTAAGTTGTTTTGGCGACAATATGAGTATACCATATATATGTATGGTATATACGTTTGCGTGTGCCTTTGCGTCGTGTTGCTCTCTCCCAGTCCTTTACTGCATCGCTGTACTGATTTCGTGAAATGGTGTGGTTGTTGTTGTTTGAGTATAGAGTATAATAGTTTTGTTCACCTAACGGTTGCTTGTATTACCTAAAACTAATCGAGTTGCATATAGGGTTATATATCTATAAATGTTCAGGATGAAGAGGCGAGTAAAAATCCGGGTGACTGTCTATCCGTCCGACCGGCTGTGCAAGCTGTAACTTGAGTAAAAACTGAGATACCGTTATGAAACTTGGTACACATGTTTCTTGGTACCGTAGATCGGTTGGTATTGCAGATGGGAGTAATCGGACCACTACCACGCCAACAAAGCTAAAAGCTAACTAACTAAAGCTAACTAACTACTAAACACGCCAAGGACATTAAATTTTATCTCTGGGATGGTATGAGATGAGGAACCGCGTTCAAAATTAGGCAGTGAGCGAGGCATCGCCTACTTTTAGGTGAAAGCCCATATCTTGGGATCTGCTCAACCGATTTCAATTAAATTGTGCATAACATTTCTCTTATATTCTATGTTGTAATGCGAAAATGTTCGAAATTGGATTACAACGACCCCTATTTCCCATATAATACCATTTTAAATTTCATCTGATTCTTTCACTTTCCACTATGCAAATCAAGCAACAACGATTGTATCGGGGTAAAAGTTTTGGCGGTGTGTCGGATTACGACCACCTGCAATATCAACCATCTTACGGTACAAAGAAATATGTGTACCAAGTTTCATAAAGATATATTTATAGTTTGTAGTTCTTGATAGTAGTTCACTTTCATTAATTTTCTGGATAACCACATATGTCGAAAAAAAACCACTTTGCGCAAACGTACGGATGGCGAACCTTATAGATCAAGGATGAAATCGAAAAAAATCCCATCTGGGCCTGACTAATCTTGTTTGATCGGTTCTGTGGTGGATAAATGATAGTTGAAGTAATGGTGTGTAGAGTGGTTTGATGGTGGTATTATGTGTTGTGGTTGTGTTTGGCCGGTGATATGTTGTGTTGTGTTGTACTGTGGGTTGCGTGCGATGAGTGCTGCGATGTCGCGGGATCAGAAATCACATGAGCAATAGTCACAACCAAACTTACAATTTCGCGCTTAGTAGGTCGCCGTCGATGGAGAAATACATGTATGTAAGTATGTCAAAATCTCTAAGCTTAGCGGGCACACGAAATGTCAATTGGTTACTGGACGTAATCCACCACATGCATAAAACTTTCTTACTGTTTAAGATCACTCCATTTACGACAAAAATTAGCAAAGACACATATTTTTTGACGGCATAATCAAGGGGTCTCAAACGTCTGATATACCCCTATTGTATAATGGATATTTTTGTGGAGAGTTT